TACAGTGGTACCTTGGCTCATGAACTTAATCCGTTCCAGGACTCTGGTCGTGACCCAAATTGGTCATGAGCCAAGTTAAATTTCCCCATAAGGTTCTATGTAAATGAGGTTAATCCGTTCTGTAACAATTTTTTAAATCAGAAAAATGTGAAGCAAAGTGACAACAACAAAGTTCGTGGCCATCCCCCCCCCCGCCCCGCACAACCCAAGCACAAGCGCGGCCATCTCCCTGCCCCCCCAGCACGACCAAGATCACACCTGTCATTCCTGCATGCGCCCGTCATCCTGGCGCGCTGGGGGGGGGGGTGGAGGGGAGAGATGGGCATGATCGCAGGCATGCTGGGGGAAGGACAGATGGGCGCAAACTGGGGGTGGGGAGATGGCTGCGATCGCAGTTCCATTTGTTCAGGGAAGGTGTGCGGGATCAGAGGCGCTCTCCTGCAGGAAAGACAGGTGGAATCTCAGCCATCTCCCCCGCAGCTCTGCTTTGCTGCTCCTGTCTTTCCTGCAGCAGTGCGCCTCTGATCACTTACCCCTTCCCTGCATGAAAGCAACTGGAATCGTGGCCATATCCCCACTCACAGGGGTGGGGAGATGGCCTCGATCACAGTTCCATTCGTGCAGGGAAGGCATGCCTGATCAGAGGTGCGCGGCTGTACGAATGACAAGCGGAATCTCGGAAATCTCCTCCATGGCTCTGCTTTGCTGCACCCGTCTTTAGTGCAGCCGGGCTCCTCTGATCACGGATCACAGTTGCTTTTGTGCAGGGAAGGCATCCGTGATCAGAGGCGTGCGGCTGCACAAATGACAAGCGGAATCTTGGCAATCTCCCCCACGGCTCAGCTTTGCTGCACCTGTCTTTAGTGCAGAAGCATGCCTCTGATCACGGATGCCTTCCCTGCACGAACAGAACCGCAATCGTGGCCATCTCCCCACCGGGGCGGGAGGGAGATGGCTGCGATCTTGGTTGCCACCCAAAGCAGTGTTCACGACCCAAGTAAAAAATTTTCAGTAATTTTTGTTTGTGACACGATTTGTTCGTGAGCCAAGGTGTTTGTGAGCCGAGGTACCACTGTATCTAGAATTCGGTCCAGCATGAATGCAAAAAAAGTATGCTTCCTTCACAAAAGCACCAGTCTACTAAAAAAAGAAAGCTCAAGTAAAATGCTGATTTTGGAATTGAATATTCCTGTTGAAATAACTGATTTCAGAAAAGCTGCTGATTGGAAAAGAAAATGATTAAAGGAACAATTTCAGCAATATCCCATTAGATGCAGCAATACTATTAAATCACCACATTGTTCAAAGTCTGCAATTCCAAGGACATGTTCTAGAACTGGATCGGGCTTACTTCAGAATGAACAGATAAATTTACCCATAGGAAGATCCAGTGCAGGAAATTTATGAGGAATACAGTGGTACATTAAGATTCATGAATCACCAAAACTTTAATTCCACATCCAGGTGACTACAAAAGCAAAATACCTCCACTGTGCTAATAGACTATAGTGTGGAAAATACTCAAATTTCTGGATTAAGTATGATATAATAACTCCTTAACAATAGGTGCCAGTTTAGCATGAAGGCCAAGAAAACATAGAAACAGAGCAAGTCAGAAGTGGCCTCCAGGCCATCTAATCTGACCCCAGCTCCAGCTGGCTCTATTTATGACATGCCTACCATGTGCATGTCCAGCCTATCCTTAAACAGCCTCACCGACAGGGTTTCAACTACCTTCCGTGGAAGCCCACTCCATGCCCTAGGGGTCCTAACCATCAGGAAGTGCTTCCTGACATCTACCTTGAATCTTGGTTTCTTGAGCTGTTCCATTGGAATGCATCCTGCCCTCCACTGCAGGGGAAAAGGTCATGACCCATCTCTTCATGACACCCCTTCACATACCTGTATGTCACTAACAGGTCCCCCCTCTGAGTCTCCTCTTCTCAAGGCTGAAAAGACTTATGAGTCTCTCCTCATATGGCTTACCCTGCAAACCAGCCACCATCCTTGTGGCCCTTCACTGCACTGATTCCAACCATGCTATATCCTTTTTGTAATGACGGACCCAGAATTGAACACAATACTCCAGCTGCAGGCGCTCCAGAGTCATACAGAGTGGCAGTAGTACCTCTCTTGATCTAGAAACCACACTTCTGGCTATGCATCAGAGGGTGGCGTTCGTCCTCTTGACCACTGCGTCACACTGCTGACTCATGTTTAGCCTACAGTTGACTAGCACCCAAGATGCTTTTCACAAGGTCAGCTCTCTAGCCACTTGTCCCTAACCCATTCCTATGCTCCAAGTGCAAGACCCTGCACTTATCTGCATTGAACGCCATCCTGTTGTCCCCAGCCCACTTCCAAAGTCTGTCTGGATCCTTCTGGATCTGGAGTACCTGCTCCTCAGTTGTGGCCACTACCCCCATTTTAGTATTGTCTGCAAATTTGATCAGAAGACTTGTCACCCACTCTTCCAGGTCATTGATGAAAAGACTGAATGGGATTGGTCCCAAGACAGCGCCCAGGAGGACCCTGCTCATCACCGACCACCATCCCAATGATTACCCTCGTACCCTCTGCTTTCAGTTCATCAACCATGCCCTAATCCATCGGACAATGCATTGGTCCATCCCAAAACTCCTCAGTTTCTCAACCAGGATATCATTGGGCACTTTGTCAAAGTCCTTAATGAAATCCAGGTAAACCACATCAACTGCATCCCCTCCATCTAGCCACCTCGAAACCTTGTCATAGAAATCCACAAGGTTGCAGTATGATCCTGTCTACTCAGATGTCTCATTGATTTCAGCATGGCTTGCTCTCAGACACTATAGGATTGTGCCCGTAAGGTGCAAAGTTCAGACAGAAAAAAGGCCTGGAGTCTGGGGAGTGGTGCCTTTTTCTGTCTAAACATGCACAGGATTACACTCTTTGTTATTTAGCTAGCAAGCACTTGTATTCTTTTTTAAATGCATAATTCTGTGTCTATTATTATTTTCTTACTATGTTTTAGTACTTTTCTCCTTGGATTCCTGGGTCTTATGTTCCTTTTAAACTTAAAAATACTGCTGACATTACATACTTAGGTGGATTTATAGTAACAGAACACAGCTAGGAGCTGTCTGAGAAAATTAATATGGCAGTCTTCCCCAATCTGGTGCAGTCCAAATGTTTTGAACTACTGTTTCCATGATTCTTTTACCATTGGCCAGGCTGCATAGGGATGATAAGAGTTGAAGTCCACAACATCCACCAGGATATGGAGGGTTGTTGAGTTTTACTTGTTATTTGGACAACCACATGTTGGGGATCGCATGAGCGGAGCCAGCTGGAGCCAAAGGTCAGACTAGATGGACCGGGACCCCTTCTGATTCACTTTGTTTCTATGTTTCTACGCATTCCAGTACACAAAACTCACACTAGGCCAGCAAACTTGGTCTCTGGTTGCACATTCTGATTAACCAATGAATTAACCACTCCCTGATGCATTGGCAGTGGAAACCCATGATGAGCACTAATTCAATTATTTTCATAGACAACCTAAGCTTCATCTGTTTTTCATAGCACTGTTTGCTTTTAAGTCTGATTGTTATTATTCATCATGAGCTGCTAACCTCAAAAACTCAATCATAACAGCACTTGTTTCTAATACTGCTTCAGAAACCTGTGTTCTTGAGGTAAAAAGTACTGGTATGATTCATCAGAATCTGTCAGTGGGCAATTTAGGTTAAACTGAGTATTGGAGCAGATTTGGGAAGAGGGAATTTCCATATTTCTATTGCTGTATGTTTAGTAAATGTATGCCTCCAAATTACAAAAGACTGCTAAAAATATAAACACAACAGAGAACATTAAAACAATAACAACTTAAAACTGAACAGTTACACAGATAAAATGACTAATCAAATCAACTTGATAAATTGAAAGCACCTGTGAAAACAAGTGATTTTTTTTTTAAAAGAAAGAACACAACATTAATAAGGCAGGAGTAAGACAGATTTCTGGACAGAGTCCTATATTTTAGGTGCAACCACTGAAAAAGCTTTCAGCCATGCTCCAACCTAATATGTCTTTTGATATAGCTAGGATGTACAAGAGAGTTTCCACTATTTAGACTCCTTTGAGAGGAGATGGGCTTTTGCATATTATGGTCCCACATCTGTATCCAACTTAAGCAAGAAATGCTATAAGTGACAACCTTCGTAGTTTCTCTTTCTAAAGCTTAATAGTAATCTGCAACTCTGTATTCATTTTAAAAATGGGTGGAAGCTAATACAATCATCCACCTCTCTCTACCAGGGCTGGCTCCAGCTCTGAGGAGGCCCTGAGCAAATTTCCCCCAGCAGGCTTATGGGGCGTCAATCAGCTGGCTTATCAGGTAGCCTAGGGGCAGAATGGGAAATTTAGCAGTCAGCATGGGCTGGGGAGTGGGGGTATGGCTGGACCTGTCAATCCCATTTTCTCTGCCCCACAATGTAATGAATACTGTGATTCAACACTCCCGCCCCCAAAATATGTTAAAAATAAATGGGGGCCTAGTTCATAATCCGTTTTAGTAGGATGCCACATTCAAGCATTGGACTTGAACTTTCTATTCTTATATGAGACTGCACAAAAAAACTCACATTCTTTTCAAATAAGAAAGCTGTGAAAGACTCAGAAAGACTCATTAAAGGCCATACTTTACGCTGTGAAAGATTGCTTAAAATATGGCCTTTAATGACTTGTGAAAACAGCATCATTTCAGCCAAGGAATGGAGGCTGTGAAAAACCTCTTACTGTAAACCGAGTATGTCTGATTAATATCTATGATTTCATTACACACTGCAACATACAGACACATGGTAACACTGATACATAAAACATAGGCTGCAATTTGAAAGAGCACGCATCCATTTTTTGCGTCTCATAAACTTTTTATTACAATGTGCCTTCTGGAAAAGGTCATTTTCTAGTTTGTTTCCGCCAAGATTATTATGACATTAAAATTGTATCCCACCCTTTCTGTTTACTGTTGGAAACAAAAGCTAGAGTCCATTCATATGCCTGCCTAGTTGCACTGAATGTTATAGGACTTCTAGAGTAAGTGGAGTTAAACTGAAAACTCACAAACCAATTGATAGCAAACAGAAGGCAGTATGTCACACACAGCAGAATACAACATAGTCCTATGACAGCTGTTTGGATTGTGTCAAACATATATATGACACAAGTCAGCCATAGGTCTGTATAATCTCAACTTTATTTACTTATACTTCACTCTTTCTCCAGAGTTCAAGGCAGTATACATGGTTCTCCCACACCTTCCTTTTAATTTCAAAACATTGTGAGATAACTTAGATTGAGAGAGACTGGCTCAAGGTCACCACATGCGACTTATAGCTGAGTGAAGATTTGAACTGGTCTCCTCATTCTAGGCCATTAAACTGTGCTGGTTCTCATTTAAGACCCTTCTTCAGGCTCTTTCATTATGATATCTGACAACAAATTAACCTTTTTAAATAGAGCCTCAGTTCACAGAAGCAGCTGTGTGATGATCATTTTAAATTGAAAACATGTGGAAATAGCTTCTGTTCGTATGAAGCAGTTTTCATGTGGCTTACCACTCAGATTTTACAACATCACTATCCCGTCTCTCCAGTAAAGAGGGCTGCAGGGTTGGAGAAATTTTCATGGTGGAAGCAATAGCAAATAGCTCATTATGCAGTGTCTGTCTGCAGTTTGAATTTAAAGCTGCTATCAATATGCACATCTTCATCTTATGGCAAAGAAATAGAGGGCATTTCTGCAAGTATGATGTCTTATTTTATTTGTGCATTCTGTTCTATCTCCACTGAACTGTCAGTGATATGAAAAAGAAAAGTGTATGAATAATTTATGTTTTAAAGTCTCATTTTAAAAGGGGCAGCAAAGGACAAGAAATCGGGTGAAGCAGTTTCTCAATTTCATACCCAGTTGTTTTCAAACTCAGAATCATTGCTGAAAATATTGCTGCATTTCCTTCCAGATTAATATAGCACAGCTGCTCCTCCTCCTCACTTTATTCTTCCACCCTCGACCTTAAAACTCCCTCCACCATCACCACCTGATTGTCAAACTCTGGAGTCTCCAGAAAGAATAACGACTTCGAGGTCTAAGGGCTTCCTTCCAAACTTGGTATTTTGAACTTCTGCATAAGTGACGAGACCGCTGGTGTAATTTGAGGAGAGAGAGAGAGAGAGAGAGAGAGAGAGATCCTAGGGCCAAAAGCCAAGCTTCCGCGTAGCCACCAATCCAGATGTAGACGAAAAAGAGTAGCTGGAAGCGGCTGTTGCCGCCGCCGCCGCCGCTTCAGGCAGATCTAGTCCCAGTCTGGACGCGGGCGCTCTCTTTCTCTGCTGCTGCTCGGAGGTACCACTGCGTGGGAGAGAATCAAAGCAGGAGGAAAAACGTGGTGAGGTGGATGGGAAACTCGAACAGAAAAGGGACAGAAGAAACTCCTCCTTAGGGCTTGCTCTGCTGTATTTATTTGTCGCTTTTCTTTCCCTGGCGGGGGTAGAAGCAGATACTCCCGTGGATGAACCGGGTGCAAGCGAGCTCTGTCCAAGGGAGGGCGCCTCCGAAGTGTCAGGGAGCCCCGTGAACGCTTCCCAATGACGCCCCGCGCGGAGGGCGCCCGCGGCCAGAGGACTTGATCTGTCCCCGCTCAGGAGCGCTCGCCGTTCTCCCTCTGCCTGGGGAGCGCCGTCGGGCAGCCTCCCTTTCCACGCGCCGGGATGGGGCTCGCGCTGCGCTTGCTGTGGCTGCTGGGCTGCTGGGCCAGCCTGGGCCGCGGCTACTTCGACGGGCCGCTCTACCCGGAGATGTCCAACGGGACGCTGCACCATTACTTCGTGCCGGACGGGGACTACGAGGAGAACGACGACCCGGAGAAGTGCCAGCTGCTCTTCAGGGTGAGCGACCGGCTGCGCTGCGCGGCGGGCGGCGAGGTGCAGCCGCGGCTGCCGCCCCACGCGGCGGCGCCCGGCCTGACGCTGCGCGAGGAATTCACCATCCTGGGCCGGCAGGTGGAGGACGCGGCGCGCGTGCTGGACGGCATCCGCAAGAGCATCTCCTACGACCTGGACGGCGAGGAGAGCTACGGCAAGTACCTGCGCCGCGAGTCCACGCAGATCGGCGACGCCTACGCCAACTCGGACAAGTCGCTGGGCGAGCTGGAGAACAAGTTCCGGCAGGGCCAGGAGCACGAGAGCCGCGAGGAGAGCCGCCTCAGCGAGGACTTCCTGGGCATGCTGGTGCACGCGCGCGCCCTGCTCAAGGAGACGCTGGCCGTGTCGGCGGGCCTGCGGGACAAGTACGAGCTGCTCGCGCTCACCGTCCGCAGCCACGGCGCGCGCCTCAGCCGCCTCAAGACCGAGTACCTGCAAGGCTGACCGCCCCGGCCGGCCGGATCGCCCTGCGCGCGTCCCGCACAGCCCGCGCCAGCCAGCCCGCCCGCGCACGCGCAGCCGCCCCTGCGCGCCCCACGCCGGCCACGTGCTGCAGCCCCGCTGTGCACGCCGTGCAGGCCGCCCTCCTCCTCCTCGTCGTTGCTGTCGTTAGTGCCCCTTATTCCCAGGGCTGGCCCCGCCATTGCAAGTTTCCAGTGCTACGAAAGGGCCGCACATTGCTAGTTCTTTACTTTGTTGTTGTTGTTGTTATACATGCATATGTGTATTGCTGCCAGTTGTGGGGAGAAATGCCTATGGGATTGTGTACATCATGCTCCTTGGGCATTCTATAACTTAGGGCTGTGGGATGCTGTTTGTGGGCCCCCTTTGGGCAGCAAAATGGCCGGGGGCAGCCTTTTTCCAAATCTGGACATGTGACTGGTAGTGGAAAAGCCATCATTCCCCTGCTGCTCTTTGAAAGTATTTTAGTCTTCCTGTGTAAGCAGGAGGGGCTGTGGCTGTCCTCAGGAGACAGATATTTGAAAGTATTCTTAAAGAACAACAAGCCGTCAATTGAATGATTTATCATTTTTTAATATCTTGGAAGGTGCTATTTCCGCTCTGGCACTGAAGTGTTCTGGAACAGCTCTGGTCAGCTTGTTGCCGCTGCTTCTTTTATCTCTGGTTTCTGTGCCTTTGCCAACTTTATGGCGTACAAAAATCAAACCAGTGACCTGCTGTTTCACAGCTGTCAAAGGTTCAAGGGACCTAAGCTGGGGCAGGGGGAGAAGATGGCAGTTTTGATTTAGTCTCTTCACAGCGTTCAGCACAATACACTGGAAAAGTGGCATATGCATAAAGTGATGAATGGCGCAGCCCTATGCATGTTTAGACACATCCTACAATTTCGAGCTTCCCCAAACCACCATGTCTAGCTGTGACATGCTCAGAATGTAGGGACTTTTCTGTCAAAGTATGTCTAGGATAGTGTCCTAAGGCTGCACTTATATATGGCCTTACCAGGGACTACATTCCATCACATTCAGTGAGGCTTGCCTCTTGGTAGACATGTATGGGATTGCATTGTTAAGCTGCAACCCTGTAGCCACTTATCTGGGGGCAAGGCCGATTGAACTGAGTAGGGCTTATGTTTGAGTTGGCACGTAAAGGGTTGCGGTGTACACAGTTACAAAGCCTATGAGATGGTCCACTTTCATACTCACCTTCCAGATGTGGGTACAGAGACTGAGATGGTGATGTCAGTAGCATTTGAATCCTGTACACCTGCACGCACAAGTGCAGTCCAGTGTGGATTGTTGGGTGGTACAACTTTCCAAAAAGTCTTCTAAGCAAATATTACTATGTTTATTATTGGATAGTACCTGTCATGTGCAAGAACATACTGGTAATTGCTCACAATGCAGCAGAATTAGGTACGTTCCCACTGCTTTAAGTTTGGACTGGAACATGGACAGGAGCCCTGAAAACTAACTCATTGAAGCCAAGAGCTAATTACTTGCTAACAGCTTTTCCTCATTTCCCACTTCCTCCCCCATCTGCAGCTATGTGGAACTCTAAGATGATCCAGTATTGCAAGATTTTTTAAAAATACATATTATTAATGACAATTTATATAGCACTGTTAATGTACAAAGTTGAACTCATTTCATTTGTTTTCACAAAAAAATCTTACAAGGTAAGGCCACTATTTGCCTCTTTGAGGAGCTGAGGCTGAGTGACTTAGTCTACTATTTCACTGGCTTGCTGACTTAGAAATGTGTATTCTGATCAAAGAAAGTTGGTTATTTCAGTTTAGGTTTAGGGATATAAATGTTTGCATGGAGCTTCAAGATAAACCTTTTTGCATCCATTGTGTGATTATGAAGGAAATGGAAATTCAGATACTCATTAGGGAATATTTGGAACCAGAATATGGTAGTTATTATCTTGGCAAGGTACAGGTGTGTGATATGTCACACAAGCCTGCAAACTACAGTCCCCTTCTGTAATTTCAGTTTATTTTTTGCTAGAGTCATAGTCACCAGGGGAAATTAGTAGCAGTTGGGACTCTATCATTTTTTTAATTTCATGCCATTCAGAAACAGTACCTGCAACAATGGCTTTGTAAATTTTATGCTGCTGGCCCCATCTCTCTCCCTTTCTCCCTGTGAGTGTGTCCCACATACACAGTGCACAATACATAACTCTGCTAAGTTTGCTGAGAATATTCTGATATCTGGGAATCTGTTGCATCAACTATGACTTTTGTATCACAACTCCCTTAAAAATAAGGGGCAGTCCTTAAAATATGAACCCCAGTGGCCTCCTAGGAAAACTGTGCCAGACTTGAAGCAATACCTCCCATCCTTTCCCCTCCTTCCCTTTTCTGCAAGAATTGTTTTAAATGCTGTAAAGGGATTTAGCATAGTTGGAAGCTACTCTTGAGTGTAGCTTGGCTTCCTCCAGGATGTAGATTTCCTGCCTGCTAGGAAAGAACCCAGCTGGATTGCCAGTAACAGCCAGAAACTGGAATCAATGCATTATTCCTAAGACTGCCAGATCTACATTTCAAAAGTAAGGGGTGTTTCATAGCTCTGGTATCCACAGAATAAAGTTCCATCAGAGCAGCTGAGCATCTTTAAATTCACATTTCTTTTGTTATGTGGTATGACAATCCTTAGAAAAAAAACACAGGACTTTTTGGAAATGGTACTGCAGGGTCAGAACAGATAGATTTAAAGAGAAACTGGGAAGAGCTAAGAAACCTTTATGACTAAGGCAGAATGGTGATAGATTTCCAATCTAAAAGAAGTGACAAAAACTGTCACTACTTCCTTTGTGCCAGGAGCTTTATTGGTAATTCTTACTGGTCACAATAAGAACTTTTGCCTTTTCGGAAGATCTGATTGGGGCTCCTAGAGCAAGCAGAACAGAGAAAGGCTCTGAGACCTTGAAGAGGAGGAAGAACCTAAAAAGACAAAGGCAGAATATAGAGCAGAAAACAGTTTTCTCTCCCTGTTTCGTTTTGCAGCTACCTAGGCACTGGAGAGAGAGAAGCTTCCTGCAGTGACTTGGTTCCAAGCAACAGCAGCCTTTACTTTACTAACATTGCTGCAAAACCTCTTTCCCTTGTGGCCTACCTCAAAATCCTCACCAGTTGGTTTTTCTGCAATATTGTCCCATTGAGCTCAATGGAAAAAATAAGAAGCACTTTAATCTCTTCCAGTGAACACAATGACATTTCAAAATGTTTGATTTTCTTGGGATTGTGCACACAGTTATTTGCTTTTAGGCCCCTCCCTAAGTATTGCTTAGCTATCACAGCAACATCAAGTCAGAACTTTGTCCTTGCAAAAAATGTAACTTATGAATGTGAAGTTTTGCCACCTAGAACTTTATAAGATCTATGAGACATTCACCCTGTAAGAGTTCACCAACAGACTTTTGCTTTTCAGGATGATATTTATTAAGTTTACTTTTTGGTTTACTATTTCTTAAAGGTATACGTTGTAAATGGTATGCAGCAAATATGTATGAAGCTGAAATCTAGAAGTATTAAGTATTCTAATATTTAACAACTATTTTGTATTCCATTATGTAACTTTAATTGCAGATAATACATCTGGACTGTGTTTTCTGTTTTTTGTTGTAAAAGCATCCCTCAGTATTACCACAATAACTATGTGTGTGGATAAACCGAGAAACGTTTGATTCACATCCAGATCTATAGGTATTAGACTGCATTGGTCTAGGTCTTCCTTTGTTTGTTGGGCTTTTCTTTCTGATTTGGATATAGATCTTTGAGCTGACACCCTTGGTATGAAGTGCAGCTCACCTCAGCTAGCAATCTGAAACTGGCATCGGCTACACACCGGTGCCCACTTACTCATACATGTAACAAGTGTTATTCGTATTTAGGATTCATACGTCATACTGTGATTAAGACAACAGTGAACAAACCATTTGGGCTGCAGTTCTACATGCAGTTGGTCAGTTGAGTTTCAGTTGCTTAATTCGAACAGTCTTGCAACTTATTGTGAGTATGCCTGAAACTGAAGGGAAGTCGGTAAAATCATGTCAGAGTCAGCAGTCTGGAGCTTGAACAGTCAGTTAACAGGTGTTTTTTTTTCTACTTTAAAAACAAAATACCCCTCAGTTAAGTCTTTAAAGCTGTGATTTCCTTCCTTCCTTCTTCTTTGTAAATAAAACAAGACATTGTACTTTTTGTGGCTTGCCTTTGTCACTGTATGCCATCAATTAGACTGCAAAGGAAGATAGGGCCCCTAGAAAGGTATTGGAGAAGAAATTCTTGTGCAGCTTGCTGAACAAGTCTATACCTACTTAAATTCCCTTTCCTACACAGCTATTTCGGATTCAACAGCTCTGGCATCTGTTGCATCTGGACACCCAGTGATCAGTACACTCAAAGGCAGGTTAAAGCTCATCTAAAAACCAGGGCCTGCAATTAACATCAGATATAATTATGATAGCACTCCCAGTTCGGTTCACAGTGTGAGTCCATGTTTTTTGAATGAACAGAATCTGCTCTTTCTCCCTCTCAAGAACATCTCTTCACTGCCATTCCCCAATTTAAGTCCACTTCCCTGTCAGCTTAGCTACGTTGTAGTTACGTATGCTTTGGATTGCAGCTTAGACATGGTTAAAATAAGCTATTTGTTCTAAACACCAGTAATTTTGTTGTATTCATCCTTTTGCTAGCTTCTGTTTCATAAAGTCATGTCTGCCTCTAGACAATAGCAAAGGAGAATATTAGAAAGATTTTTTTAATTCTATTTGGTTCTAAACTGTACATAATACAAATGTCTAATTGCAGGAAGGAAATTTGTCTTTATATTCTTTTAATAAATATTTAAAGAAAAAAGTTGGAGTTCTATGATGAGGGCAGTTTACTCATGAGTTTGAAAGATGTTTCTTTTGACAGCACTGCAGCTTACAGAGGTGAATTGTTACCTACTGAGATATAGCTTTCTGATAAGAGCAATGTAATTTAATTAGCATGCAATGTAAACATTTCCAAGCCAAGTATGATTGTTTGCTGTGTTTTAAACACATTTGATACATCTACTGATACATCGAAAGCTCATCCTGACCAATATTTTCTTACTTCCACTGGGACCCATTCATAGCTAACAGATACATAAGCAGAATAGATTGCTGTGCCTTTAATGGTTGTGTAGAAGAGGGTATTTCAGGAGATACAGCTTGCCATGCCCCTGGTATAGGATAAAAAGCACATGTTCAGGTGGGCACTTCCTAAATTTATTGGGACTGTGAAGTACTTTCCTGTGATCCCTCTGACAGTGTTGACAGTGGTACAAAAAGTCTGATCAAAGTTAAAGTGATTTTCTTTCTCATGCACAGCGTCCAACTGACTAGGGGAGTTACTGGAAGCGATCAGGCCTGCTTTTGTACCCAGCAGTCTCATTTGCAGAAATTGCATTGTGAAGCTTTTTTTTTTTTTTTACTTCAGTCTTTTATTACATTGCTATACCAGCTAATAGCCAAAGCTCACTAAATGAAAATCAGGCTGCATACAGGACAGCGTGAGAGCAAACCCCAATGGTAGGATAGGAAACAACTAATAGATGTCTTAATACAATCCAAAACAGGAGATCTTGGATGAAATTCTCAGTGTTTGCTCTGGCGTTATCTTGTTCTTTCCAGTAGAACATACTCTTTGAAAAATGCTGTGATGCAGCCATGTTTATTTTCATTGTTAAAGAGTGAACAAGTACTTTCCAGACTTTCAAAGGAAGTTAGGAACAGCACATTGAAAATACTAAACAGAGAACTGGGGAGCTTTGAGCTACAGCTTCTGTATTAATACTGAACCTCATACTATCATGAGAGCTCATTTTGAGCATTAACAAAGCCAAGTGGTTGACATTTAAAACAAAACTTGCCTGTGAAAATGTCCATTAGATAATGGGCCAAGGTGCCTTTTAACTTTCAGTGCAGAAAATTAGGAGCATGTTTCATGTTAGTGCTTGTTCTCTCAATATTTAAATGCAGGTGCCAGGTCAGAGCTGTGCAGGAGAAACCCATCTTAAAAGCCAAGTCTAGCCTAAAGTTTATTATTATTATTATTATTATTATTATTATTATTATTATGATATTTGTTGATTTATATCCTGCCTTTTTCCTGCAAAGGGCTCAAGGCAGCTAACATCATTCTCCTCTTCCATCTTATCCCCACAACAACCACCCTGTGAGGTTGGTTGGGCTGAGAGTCTGTGACTGGCCCAAAGTCACCCAGCTGGCTCCATGGCCGAGTGGGGACTAGAACCCAGGTCGTCTGAGTCCCAGTCCCAGCTCTTAACCACTACACCACACTGGCTCTCACATTTATGATTTAGTGAGGCTCCTGTGCATTCCATGGACAGCAGGAATCACGAACAAGCAGGTGCTAGAGCATGTTAAACTCGATGCATCCCTGGTCGGCAATATAACAAAGCTGAGGCTCACATATTTTCACCATGTTATGCAATCAAGCTCATTAGAAAAAGATATAATGCTTAGAACGCACAGCAACAAGAGAAAAACAGGTCACCAGGTCACAGGGTAGTTAGACTCCATCAAAGATGAGGTGGGACAGAGCATAGTTTGGCTGAAGAGGTGGTGTGGGATTGGAAAGTGAGGTGAGATTTGGCCCATGGATTGCTTCTAGTCAGACATGACTCAATAGTTGAACAACAACAAATCTCAAATTACACAGAAGAATTCAGTCCTATTAGCTGGGCTTACATTTGAGCCCTTATCAAACCACCACATTTCACATAATGCTATGTTCATACTGAGTCTTGGGACTTATCATCATGAGAACAACAGAGAATAAGAACATTCCCCTGTACCATTACGAATTTTTAAAATGATTATTAATAAAAAACAACCTTGTAAATTTTCATGATTATATATGCTTTTTAATGATTCATATTTGATGAAAAAATTCCCCTGTCATATATGATGGCCCTAAATTTTTGCCTTGCTATTTGCCTCACATACAAGGGTCAACCTATATCCCTGTATATTGGGTGCTATGAACAAACCATGTTCTAAATACTTTCATACCCCGCTCTCCAGATAGAATCCTCCCAGATAAGCTTCTGTGGAATTCATAAGACAGTTCCTGCCCACAGACTTACTATCTAAAAACATGACGTACAAGGAGAAAGGGACAGGGAGGGGAGAGCAAAAAGGAAACTCAGACACTAACTCAGAAACATATGTAGTTCTAGTCTTCCAAGAGCAGCAGTCCGGATTGACAATCAGTGTTTGGTTTCTTGTAATTTTTGTGGCCTCTGTAACGACTGACTCTGTGTGTGCACATGTGTGGGAGATCCTCCGTGAGACCAGAGTCTATAGTTGAGGGGTTCCAGTTTCTCAAAATGTCCAATAACCTTTTATTGTGCTCTCATTGATACATGCTGAATCGTGCATAGCTTAAGGCTATCAGAAGTCATGGATCATTTTTCCACTGATTCCAGTGAATATTTTATTTATTTTATTTATTTATTAAAACATTTTTATGCTGCCCCATTCGCCGAAGCCTCGGGGCGGCTTACAACACTAAGTTAAAATAATTATAATATAAATCAAAAATATAAACATTAAATTAAAAATACAAAACTACAGTATTCTCCAGAGGAGCTGTCCAAAATGTAGTAACTGCAGGAGGCACAAGAAAGATGTTGCTTCAGCAGAGGTTTCACTTCAGATTATCAGCTTCATAGATGCAAGTAGGGCTTAGGGAGAAATGAGCACCATGCCTTCAGTTCTGAGCTTCTACTCACGTCTTATGTTGCATGTTATGAAGTGGCAGGGGGAGATCAGATATGGGCTACTGTTTCATAGAAACCTATGGCCTCCTGGCCAGGCTGTCTTCCTCGAGGAGGTCTTGAAAGATAATTGGTGTCCACTGACTCTCCTGGAAGTGCCTCAGCATGAGAACTAGGAATGTTTGAAGAGATTTCTCCTCTTCCTCTGTGGGTTCATTCAGGGCTACATCCAACAAAGAAGGTGATACCTCTGCCAACTCTGACTTGTGAGAGTCCTAATCCAGGATTAAACCCTGTCATCTCTTTCTGCCTAAGGCTGCTTGCTAAACCTCCCTGGGATGAGACCCGTATGGCACCTCCAAAAAGGTAATGTCTGAATCTGATTTACAGTCATAAGGGCCAGCTTCTCCACATGGACTCTCCAAAGTGTCGGCATCATCCCCTTTTCCATTCTCACACAACTTTCCCATTGTGTAACATGCACAGGCTGCAGAGTAAGATGGGATGTGTTCAGGATGTACATGTTCCCCGCTGATGTGTGAATACAAAAGGGGGTGGAAAACAGGCCTTGACACTAAAAACAACAGCAACAGCACTGTCCTCACAAGGAGAAGCAGCAGCATTCATAAAGGTCAGATATTTTACTCACACACACTTTTTCACTCCACTGTTCTTTCTTTCCATGTTGCCTCCATTATCATAGCATATGGGAGAGGATAGGTCTATACCAATCCCTTTTACTTCCAATTTTCTAAAAAGCACGTTTGCGATTCTACTCATGTCCCTTGATGGCAATATATTCCAAGAACTCCTCTCTGACCTTCACTGTGCACTGTTGATTCTGTTGCTGTTAAAGAAACAAAAACCCTTGTGCACCATTAAAGATATTGTTCAAGTAGCCCTGTAGCATGTACAATCCAGAATGATGGAATGGCTCTAGTGAGCCAAAACCTTTGACTTCCATTGACAGGAGTCTGAGGGTCACATTCTGAATTATATTTTCGGAGGTAATGGATGTGGATTCCTAGGGTAGTTACACTTCTTAGGCTCAATCTACATAAAATGTGAAAACTGTTGCATGCAGCCAACACTCTTACAAGTTTGTGAGTCCCAGTCCAGGTACAAACTGTGCATGGGGTTAGCGGGGTTTAATCCTGTCACCCCAATGCTTATTTTCTGAAATGTCCATCTTTCTCTGCCAGGAAGCTAAAAATCAGGACATGAAAGCCTCTGCTGGGGCCAAAAGAAGCTTTTTCCTTCGATTTTTGTTCCCATACTTTTAAATGTCTTCTATCTACCTATAGTAGTCCCAATCCAGACTGAAGTCTTGTGAACGTATTTATATGAAAAGTTCTTTAGCGTGGCTGCAGTCCCATTATTTCTTTTGCACCAGCAGTAAAACCCTGTGCAAATGAGATTCTCCGATTCA